GTCTCTGCACATAGATGGGAGCTCCAAAAGTGCTCAGCCCAATACAGATGCAAGTTTGATGTAGACCATCTCTTTCATGTCAAGTTTACAAATATCAGTAGGAGCCTACACAGCAATAAGAGATATGAAGCCAAATGCTATCTTCAGTCTCAATACCATTATATATTCATCGACTGGAGTAACCTCTACTACTGAGGGATAGAGTCTGCTGGAGATGGCTATAGCTACTCCCTGAAGATGATGACCATCACTACAGCCTGACCAGTAAAAGGTGTAGCTACCTACACTAATCGTGCCACTGCCAGGTCTTCTCACCTCCAAGAGAGCAGCCACCTCAACTCTCAACCTCCCCATTTGTCTTGACAGTAGTGGCAACCTATCATCCTGACACAAAGAACGTACGTTCCAAGCCCCTACCCTAACATCCCGCCTGAGGTTTAGCCTCAGGCAGTCACTCATGGCGGATACCACCTCTGTCACCCCTGCCAATGTTGCCCCATATAAAGGAGGGTGGCAGGCTGTAGGACCCAACATCCACCTGTGGGGTTCCCAAGGGCTTTACCCCACAAGCAAAGGACAACGAGGTGGGACGAGTAGCTTCTGTTCCCATCCTGTGTCCCAACAGTCACCCTCCCAATGGGGCCCACAGCCTGCCTCACTTGCTGGGTGGGAGTGGCATTTCTCCTCCCCCCAGCATTTCCATTTATACTTAACAATGCAGTAGGGATTTATCTGGGGGAGGAGGACTGGCAAGGCCAATCCTCCCCAACCTCCCAGAACCCAGGTTTAGAGTTGGTATAAAGTCAGGGCGTGTCCATACCATGCCAGTGGGCCACGGACCCTTTGTACTTCTGGGCGTCTCCTGCTGCTCCAAGATCCCCCACAGTTTAGCCTGGGACCGCAAGGTACCCAGTTTCCATGGCTGGCCACGAGGAGGTAGTGCAGAAGTCTTGATGATGGAGAAGATATGAACTGGCAGGGGAGGCTTATGCAAAGCTGCTCCCTTTTTTGCACAAGGCTAGCCAGCAGTGGCAAGAAAGCATGCAAGAACTTAACATTACTTAGGCTTCTACACCCATTGCTTCACATCACCCTGAGCATGAAGCACCCACTCATTGACATTATTAACAGCAAAAAAAACTATCAGAAAAATTTCTGAAGATCAAGGAAAAAGGTAAACAGGCGAGATAGATAATACTCATAATTGGCTCATTGGAAACTAAGTACTTGTGGAACCATCTATGGATAAAGAAAAATTGATGAACTAAACTCATAATGGGCATGGCATGTACAGACATGCCATCCCTGGAGGCATTGGGTTAATGTTTATTTGGAAAGGTTGCCATTGCTATGATTTTTTGTAAATTGTCGATGAAAATCAAAGGGCTTCTGCTATTCTATTTGCTAGACATTAAAGGTCTTTTACCTCAGGTACAATTTATGGTATATATGATTGGCCAATATTTGTAATAGTATTAACCAGTTTATTTAAGCACAATTGTTGTTATTTGACATCCAGATATTCTTTATATTCAGCTTTGTGTGTGTTAATTTTTTCTACTTTTTTCAGTATAATGTTGTGGTATGTTAGAACATTAGCTGTGTGATAGAGTGTTAGTATAAGTTTCCCTTATGTCTGTCAGATTTGTTTTACTGTTTCTCCTCTTCTCCAGAAACTCACATAATGAAGGATAACCCAGCCTTCAGCATGGTGAATGATTCTGATGAGGATGTTATCTACGGTTCTGATGAGGACACAAGACGACCCTTGAATAGAGGAAGCAATGACAACGACGAGAGTGATTAACTCATGTTAAATTTTTCAAAGGTTGAGAATTGTAAGAGTGAATATTACGAAAAACATTTGCCATGTAGGTTGTCAAATTGTTGAGGATCACTTCAAAAGATGATAAGTGAGATGGCAAATCTTTAAAAAAAACCCTGTATTTTTGTTTTCGTACCTGGAGCATCTCGATGCACAGGGATTTGCCAATGTTGATATATATATATATATATATATATATATAATATATATATATATATATATATATATATATATATAATATATTATATATATATATATATATATATTATTTAACACACAGACACACACACAATACAACACACACACACACACACACACACACACACACACACAAACACACAAACACACAACACACACACAAACACACACACAAACACACACACAAAACACACACCACAACACAAACACAACACACAACACAACACACACAACACACACACACAAACAGACACACACACATACACACACACAAGCACACACACACAAGCACACACAAGCACACACACACAAGGACACACACACACAACACACACACACACAAAAAACACACATACACAAGCACACACACACACACACACACACTAGCACACCAGACACACACAACACACACACACACACATGAGCACACACAAACAAGCACACACACAAAAACACACAAACACACACACACACATT